TCCGGGCGGGAAAATTATGAAATTTTTCCGATGACTTCCCACCATTTCCAACCGGAAAGTGCAGGAATTTGGTCGGAAAGTACCGGAAAAATCTGGGAATTTCCCAATCCAGAATACTGTTTCCATTTTTCGTATGTTTTCCTGGCGGTTGCGGGGGGAAATAGCCCTGGTTCCTGTTGGTTCCGGCCGGATCCGAAGGCCGGAATCATCGTCCTGGGTAGGATGGTATTTACTAATTGATTTGATTTATTTACACTATATCAATGTGTCAATATTTTGTTGAAGGCCAATCAACTTTAGCCACATTTCAGTGAATATTGCTGCCAATTTTCGATGAACAGTTCACTGAAACTTAGCATTGTCACTGCAATAGTTTCCGTAATAAAAAACATCGGTTAACAGGTGCAGGATTGCCGATTATTTTGAAATGTTGTTGGATGGATTAAAAAATACGCCAAAATCTCAAAATTTCAGTAGAAAGTATTTCACGTGACTTTCCGTCCGATTTTGTCACGGAAGACATTTTTATTCAACTTTTATGCCAAAAATGTCGTCATTTTACCGTGGAAAAAATTCTCCTTTCTTCCTTATCGACGAATCGGTACAGATATGGTTTTATTCGAGAAACATGAATTCGGATTTCATTTACTTCACTGGTTCCAAACAAGTGTCTTTCGTTTTAGGTTTGTCACCTGTATTTTTCTATCATAGTAGCGTGTTCGTTGATAATTTTATAAGCCAGCATTGGCTTATACTAAAAAGTTTCCATTAAATGTTGACTGAAAGTTGTTCGAAAGAATAGTATTTAAAATCATTTGTGTTGTGATTGTTGTTAATGAAAAATATCATAGCGACGAAAGTAAACATGACTACATTGCTTGCTTATTACTGCAAGAATTTTTCAACGTAAATGCAAACAACTATTCAAACAGGCTGTGTTTCTATATTTCGTTCTTCTTTAATGAAAAGTAAGAACGTCATTCACAGCGATCAATGTTTGTTTGATTTCTTCACATGATTCATTCAATACAAAGAACACGTTTCACCCATGTTTATGGTGGCAATCACATTTAATACACATACTAAGAGTATGGACGAGTATGGATTTGCATGATTGTGGATGTGATTGTCATTTAAAACATGATCAACAACCAGACCTGGAACTAGACCCAGATCCAGACTCACACACCCACATCCATCCATGAGATTTACCCATGATCTTGAGGGTGTAGGTCTTCTATCAACGTGCTCACGCCCACAACCCACATCCCTACACCCACCCACCCACACCCACACCCTTTCGTCTACTCTTCTTCCATACAGTCATATATGTGACTGTATGGAAGAAGAGTAGACGAAAAAACTCATCCAAACTCTCGTAAATCTGCTACAAAGCAATGAACAGAGTCCGATACTTGATTTTGTTAATCCAAACTCTATAGACATCTCAATGATCTATTGCTAAACTGTAAAAAGTCATTTTTACAAAAAGTATCTTTTCGATCGAATGCATTATTCGACTGCAATATTAATGAACAAATAGAAACAAAAATGAATTTTTCCAATATTCATCATGCTCTTCATTGGAAACTAAAAAAAATCATTTTTATAAGTTATAATACCACTGTAAGTAGTAGGATCTGTTTGCATACCCTTATCATGAATTATTTACAGAAAAAATTTTTGTCATCTACCAAGAAATAACAAGCACACATTTTGTTGCTTGTAAAACTTATCACCTCTGTACATTTTATATGAAATCACGTCAACATCAAAATAAAAAGTAAATTAAACATCAGTGACTGGATTCTCGAACAGAAATTTGTCAATAATATTTTTCTTTTTTTTCTCTCTGAGATTGTACAAAAAAAAACATGATTGGCAATGAATCTATTTCGCCGCTCTTTTCATAGGATGCAAGAGTAAAAGTGTAAACAAAGATGTTAATCAGGTTGCCGTTATTATTCGGCTTTTTTACGTAAATAGAAGCATAATATAATACATCATTCACTTTTTTACTGCGCAATTCTCTCGAAAAAGCATCGTTGTTGAAAAGTGTAAATATGACCATTTATTTCATTCGATACTAAGTATCTGTTGTAGTGGTTCTCGGACAGCAAGATCATGTATTTTTGGACAGTTTATCATTCGTTAAAACCATTTTTGGACTTAATATACAAATTTCTTCTCAGCAATATGGAATTTTCATATAAACTTACCAAAGGATATGGATATACTCATATACTACACATAAACCTAAACAGAATTCCAGAGAATCGCTCAGCATCTCAAAACCATTATAATTCAATGGAACTGTTGCTACTTCTAAAGACCAATCGGATACTAGATTTCATGAGATTTGTATTAAGATATAAGATTCCAAAACTTTTCATACGACTATCTGCGCAATGAACTGTAGGTGTATGTGAGAGGGTGTGAGTATGGGTATGAGTCTTCTTTTCACTCATACCTGCACCTATACCTACACTCACACCGACGCCCACATCCAAATACATATCAAGAAGGAGAAACAGATCTCTAATGAGAATGATTTTCATCGGAAAGGATCAAGTCTAGGTGAAAAATGCACGAGCGTTAACATCGCAAGTGACAGAAAGCAAGCAAACACAAAAGAAGCGCTTCTCTGAACTGTTTTGCTCTGTCTTGGACATGTAATACTTTTTTGCTAAGTTTGGGTGTGGATGTGAGTGTGGGTAAATTGTGGCTACGATTCATATATCCACAACACCCACAACCACACACCTCGAAATCGCGACCGTGGTAGTTATTGGTTAAACTCACCTTCGATAAAGAAGATGTTGATAATTAAGGAGATATAACAACAATGCCACGTGATCGGTCAATCATGACCGAAGATCAAAAGGGGAACTATCAAAGAGGATTAAAGAATAGAAGGAAAATATATGTAGAAGAGTTAGCGCCAAGTAGCGTCATCTATTGACGCTAACAGTATAGATGGCACATTTGTTCGATATAACTACAAAAGCAAGCTTTCAATGTATTTTGAACTAACCGTAAGTAGAACAAATTCTTTCTTGTTTTGTATCAACGGTTGTTTTTCGGAATTTAATTAATTTGTTTTATTTAATAAATTTTTTATATCTTTGATACAATTTGGCAATGATCAATTGAATCGTTGTGATAAGATCCTGTACGATATAGATAATAGAATACTCAATTAATATCTTGGGTGTTAACCCAATGAGGATTTTTAATCAAGAATAAAACAATGTTGAAAAAAACTTCACAAAAAAATGATGAACTCTCATATTTTTCAGATAATTAGGTTAAAAATGTTGAAGCTGATGTTATAAATAATTGTATAATGTGCAAAAATAAAAGATATTTCATTTGGGTGTGGGTATGTGGATGTGGGTGTGGGTCTGGGTGTGGATGTGGGTGGGTCTGGGTGTGGGTGGGTGCTGGGTGTGGGTGGGTGTAGGATGTGCGTATGAATGGGTGCGGATAATCTCTTCAAACATTCACACCCACACCCACACCCACCCACATCCACACACCCACACCCACACCCACACCCACACCCACACCCACCCCACACCCTCACCCACCCACCCACCCACCCACACCCACACCCACACCCACACCCACACCCACCCACACCCTCTCTATTCACACCCACACCCATACCCACACACCCACCCACACCAACACACCCACACCCACACCCAAAACCACACTCGTTTGAACGAATGCTCGAGGAAGTCAATGAAGAATTCCAAACTAAGAATAGTATTTGTAACATAATTCTATCATGTGTCAAAGAATATTGTCAAAATGCAAATGATAAAGACAATCTTGTAAATCAGATTCAAAACATACAAGAAAAGTTGATGACAGATACTGTTTGTTCTGTTGAAATTCCTTCTGAATTCATAGTACTTGCTAAATGTGCTGAAAAACTTATTCCATACTCAAAATGTCAAATTTGGCAAAATTTTCTTACAACCTATCGAAATCAACCAATACGTAAGTTTTTTAAATACTCATTCGTTAAGTATCAGTTGCATATACTGTGTTATCTTATCGTTTCAGTGTGCTCACAAGCAAGTGCTAATCCAATCTTATCTGTAGACAAGTCAGATAAAGCTATTGCAAGTAGTACAGAAATAAATGTAAAAAGTATTGAATCTGAAAAACAAGATAATGAATTACACTTGTCTTATTCAAAATCTTGTTATTCAATCTTACAAGCAGATACAAAACTATTTCATAGATTTATCAATCGACTGATACATAGTTGTTCGAAATGGGAAATTCTACCGATTTCACAATCAATTAAACTGTTTCCTAATATGCATAATGATTTGGATTACCTAAAACATAACTTTAATGTTGATATTATTAAATTTTTCACAACATTATTTGACTATAATAAGAACTTGAATTATATCAATCATATTTGTCAAGGATGCATAAATTTATTTGATCTATTTCATATTCGACTTGACAATAGTAAAACTATGCTTACTGATGTACTACAAATGAATGAAAATACCAATGGGAAAACTTTCTTGACCATGTATCAAACTTTTCATCAACGTATTTATGTTCGTTATTCAAGAAAAATGAACGACATATTTTCTTATTATGGTTCAGCCTTAGAACTAGTAAAATTTCTTTATTCTCTTTCTGCATCCGATGTCGATAATCTACGTGAAACAGTCAACGGTTGGGATGAAACATTAATCAATACAAAAACAATTCTCGATTTAGTCATATTGAAAACATTTCTAGATCAACTTAGTGATAGAATTAAAATGATTCAAGAACAATCATCATCATCAATTCTTACATTAGATAGGGTTACAGCTTGTGTTGAACGTTTATTGGAAGATGATCAATGGAAAACAATATTTGAATGCTTCGAATCTTGTCATTTATTATTGCCTAGTATCCAAAATATTTACATGAATTTGACAGATCGAAGACTTTCAAAACGATGACAAATTTTAAACATTATGAAAAATGTATCATTCAGTTTTAAAAGTCACGATCAACAAGAACTTAAACAACTTTATGGATTAAATTATAATTATGACATTACAATAAATTTCAATGAACTTAGTGGTCTTCGTGATCGTGCACGACTTATCGAATATTCACATAGAATTAAAATACAAAATGATACAGAACAAGGTACTGAAATGCTTCATTCATTCGTTAGTTTTGTTGATACTATTGAAAATATAATCAAAAACTTGACACAACTTAAAATGATTGGTTATCCTTGTGTTCAATCTCTTCTAGAACCAAGCAAAACTTTTACATGTATCGAAGGCAAATATAATGAATTGATTGAATTTGAACAGACAATTGAAAAATTACGAGTTGAATGGGAATATAATTTATGTGAATTATACAAACAACATATATCATTAACCTATTTCTTTTATGAACAATTTTGGATAATCGAGCGTTATTTATACAATCGAACAACAGTCATCAATAATGCTTATCATTTACTTAAGTATATTGGTATACAACCTGAACTAATTCAATATGATTTTCTACTTGATATGAATCAAGATCCAGTAAATCGTCTTAAGAAAGTTGGTCAAGTATTGTCAACTCAAAAAACTAAAATCATAGAAACGAATGAACAAAAATATCTGACTAATAATAGAGTACTACTAGTTCAAACATCTGATGAAGGTATTATGCGTGCTATACTTTCTCTCTTTACATTTGTTCAAGTACCAGCTAAAGTTAATCAATTATTTTATTGTACAAATAGAACAACTTGGATGGAAGTATGTGCATTTGTTTATCGTTGTTTCTATTCAGAAAAATTTCATCAACTCATTCGACCAGAACTATTAACATTATCGATTCAGGATAAGTTTATTGAACTTTTAAGTCAAATGATTAGTTGGCAACAACCAGAACATCATTTTCAATTTGGAATTATAACTACATCATCAAATATAAATCAACTATTAATTAATAGTTTGAAAGCTCTGGAACTTATTCAAGAGATCTTTGCCTATCAAATGTTAAATATAATTAAACTCAAAGAAGAAATTGAGAAATTAAATGGTAAAACTTGTTTTCTTGTTACATCAAATATTGCTGGTCTTGGCAAGTCGACTACTATCCGAAATATAATTCATAATTCTGGTAAAGAATACATCAAATTTCCGATTAGTGGTAACATCGATATGAAAAGTTTGGTGACACGTTTTTGTAATTGTGCAAATAATTCATCATCATCATCATCATCATCATCATCATCAAAAATAGCTATTCATATTGATATTGGCATTATTAATGATATTAACCAATTAAATGAATTCTTATATTCTGTTATATTATTTCGTAGTTTTCGTTACGAATCAGTAGCTATCAATATTTGTGCTGATGTATCAATATATATCGAACTTGATTCATCTCCACAAATGATTAATCTATATGAGAAAATAATTATTTTGCAAAATCTTGAAAAACTTCAAATTCCTCTTATTGAATGGAATCAAATGAATATTCATTATTTAGCAGGTATTAAATTAGTTATTAATTATCTTCAAGCAATTGATGAACAGATAATTAATCAAACAGATATTAATGAAGAAAATTTAGAAGAAATTGACAAAATGACTTGTGCAAAACTTTTACGAAACAATTCATAGGCAAAAAAGATGATAAACAAATTAGTTGGACACGATTAAAAAT